TTTTTTTTACTTCTCGATTTGTCGATTGCAGAGGATATATGGCTCCTGAGTATGCAATGTGGGGTTATTTGACCGACAAAGCAGATGTTTATAGCTTTGGAGTTGTGATTCTTGAAATCGTCAGTGGCAAAAGCAACAATAACTACATGCCGAGTCGAAATTTCGTTTGCCTTCTCGATTGGGTGTGGTACCAAAAGCTTATTGTCACTCGCTTTTCCGTTACTTTTTAAGTTACTTTTAAATCGGCGAAAATGCATTTTTTAGTCATGTTGGTTTAACTAGCAAATTTTAGTCTCGAGGTTCCAACTTTCCGCCTTTTGGTCCCGTGAGTTGATATTTTTACGGTAATTTCAGTCGAGGACTAAAAATGCAACAAGATTTTAAATTACAAGACTTATGTTGCTAATAAAAAATTTATTCCAGAGATATAAATTTTGAGCATTTGTTGCATTTTTAGTCATTTTTAAGACTAAAACTGCACCAAAATATTAAATTACAGAACCAAAAGGCGAAATATTAGAATCTTGAGCTTAAAATTGCTAATGGCGTTAAACTAGCAGGACTAAAAATGCAATTTAGCTTAAGTTAATCACAACAAAATTTCCTTCAAGTTTATTTTCTAGGAGGATATCGTAACTTACCCTTCTACGATCATCCCTATTTTTTTTTTTACTTTCTCCATGCAAACATACGAGCTCAAACACAATGATTTTACTGCAGGCTGGTCACTTGCAAGAAAGTAAAAATATCGACGAGCTGATAGACGAGAAGCTGGGCCTTAGCATCAACCGAGACGAAGTAGAAAGAGTGGTGAAAACGGCACTTTTGTGCACAAACGCGACTCCATCCGTGAGGCCCATGATGTCCGAGGTTGTCCTAATGCTCGAAGGGAGAATGGACGTTCCAAATGTGATCCCGGATGGGAGCACGTACACGAATGATGTGAGGTTCAAGGCCATGAAGGACCTCAACAAAGAGAACCGAAACCGAAGCCCAACTTGGAGCGAGTCGCAAAAATCGACACCTGTACGCACGGATGCAGTTTATTCTTCTTCGTCGACCTCTGGGTTTATCGAAGTTAGTAGAGATACGATATCTTATTGATGAGCGGTTTTTTTTATTATTATTTATTTTGTAATGGCATATTTTCCACATTTTTTTTGTAAATTTTGTATAGTTAGGTACATGAGGTGTATCCATCACTTGAAAAATGTGGATATGGTATTTGAAAAGATGTATATTTAAGAAACTTTTGTGAGGGGTTTCATATGTTAAGTCATGTTGTCAATCTCCACTTTATTAAAGAAGGGGACAATGTAAAATAGCTGGTTGTGTGTTGGTTGCTAGCAACTTTTTGTGTTTGATAATGTATTCACACTTTGAAATTGTTCATTGTGTTTTGTTAGCTCGCATCTCATTTCAATCGTTTTGTAACTGATACTATTAACACTTTGAAAATAGTCCATTGTTAGCTCCTTATGGCTCGAGCTCGACTCGAGTTGTTTGGTAAGCGAGTCAAGCTCGAACTCATTTAAACTCGGCTCGATAAGGTTCGTTAAGGCTCGAAAATATTATTTTAATTATTTTTTTCTAAAGTTTGATTAGATTTTGGCTCGTTAAAGTTCAAACTCGACTCCTTAACATTAATAAACGAGACTAGCTTGAGCTCAATTATTAGCATTTTTAGGGCTCGAGTTCAACCGCGAGCAGCATGAGTATTAGCTATACTTGGTATAACTATCCCATTAATATGGAACACCATTCAGGAAAATTACTACTTTATACAAATAATTCAAACAAACATTTTCCAAAAAAAAAATAAAA